GGGACTCAAGGATCTACACTTTTAGCGCGATATGGGAGGGGCAATACTCGCCGGCATGTTTTCGAAGTGTCGGCAGGAATTACCGATATTGCTTGAACTGGGCGTTGCTGAATTAATGTACCAAGTAATATCCGCTAATAATTTGTAACGGTTTGGTTATCTTGGTATTGTTTGCGAAACGTAAGACCGATATACCTATACAAATGTGAAATTCGCGTGCTGATGTTATATTTCCGTTTACCGCATCGCTGATCTGTCTCGGAGCAATTTCATGTTTGATGTACACTCACAAGGGACTCATTTGCGACCATACATAAATATTGCATGTTTTTGATTTTTACTCGATAAAATACCCTTTCAAATGTATCTGCCCCGTTTTATAAGTAAATATAAGAGATACAGAATGGTCCGTTTTAATCAACCCACCAAAATATCTCAAAATTCCTAAGTTTAAAACAAAAATGTTTTAGACAAATGTTATACTTACAATTAGTTATTTGGGGAAAAAGACTCTGGCTGACCTTAAGAATATGTCCTTAAGGTCAAGTCAAGCTAAGGTCAGATCAATTTTAAGTCTCACCTAAAATTTCTTAAATATCAACCTCCATTTTTCTGTAATTAATATTAAGCCATTTTCCAAACACTGGTTACCAATTTTTTTCGATGAGAAGTTTCTGAGTCCTCTGCTGGCATTAGCGATCCTGTATTTCTGGATACAGTTATTACATTTACTTATAAAGCGGCAAGGATACATTTTAAGAGGTTATATTTTATCAAGTAAAAATAAAAAAACTTACAATATCGACGTATGTGGATCGCAAGTGGATCTCTTGTCAAAGAAAAAAGACATAGTGGTAACATAGCAACAACTATAAAAGTAATAATTATACAAGTTTTATATATAGAATTAATATAAATACGTATAGTTGAATAGACTATGTATTTTATAGTTATTGCAACTATAAAATCATTTATTCAATTATATGTACGTTAGTTTATTCGCCTATGTATATTTCCATATTTTACCTTTATTGTTGTCATCATTACGTTTTTCTCTGTGTGTCGAGTATCATGAGAACGCATCTCATCGTTATACATTATTCACCTGATATTTTCCATTTTTGATCGGTATTTCCTCGAAAATAGTGAAGGTGCATCAGAGAGGAGTTCTATGGACGCCAACATCCACCTTTCACCTTGCCTCTAAGGAGATGACGAATTTACCTGTATTTCGACGGCAAAAAATTACTTTGCAGGTCCTGGTGCTTGGGCTCTTGGGAATATGAAGTAACGAGTGAGAAGCTCGAGCGAGGTGTTCGAGGATAAGGCTGTTGAAAAATTGAACACAAAGGAGGCACATAAGCTTGACTGGCTTACGCGATGCGTAGTTTCTTATCCCATGTGTTGTGGAGGAGCCACTCGAATAACTTTTACGAGTAATATGGTGTTGCTACCAGAAACATTATTGCGAAGCGACCGTATAAATTTTTCTTCCTTTTCTCGCTTATACTATATAAGGCCGGCTGCCTTACCTCGCGTTTGTATGAAACGCGTGTAAACGTAGGTATTATGTGAAACCTGGAATAATAAAATGACACACTGTCATATTAATTTACTTACACCTTAATTTCATTATCTCGTTATTAATGGGGTAAATAAATACAAAAAGAGGAGAAAAAGATTTTCTTGAAACACAGAATAGGAATTGGATGCGCGTATCCTATGCATTAATAGTCATTCATTGTAATTTTTACATAAAAAATAGAAGTTTATTTAATTCTAGAATGACACACTGGGCATGGCACATCCAATCAAATTTTACTCATAACTTTTATAAAAATGAACATATTGTATCAAATTTGTTTCAAATCAAAACGCCAAACATTAAGAGACTTAACGGTAACATGCGAATATATCTTTGTTAATAAAATGTTATAACAATAAAGGAATTTCAAAAATTTATATTTGAGAAAAAATTAAGGTAAAAGACTTCTTAAATAGAATATTTCGAAGACTAAAAACTTTGAAATTAAAGAAAAATATGCCATAGGTAAGTATTTAAAAAAAATTTGCGACACGCTAATTGTAATATATTGATTACGAACTTTTGATCGTTCTTATTAAAGATTATTCGCTAATTAATGCTGTCCTTTACATCAAAGAAAAAGGCTATTCTATAACGTATTTAAATTTATCAAGTAGATTAGCAAATTTTCAAAATTATAAAAATATTCATCTTTGACTTTCGAGAAAAACTCCTGGATATGCCATACCTACGTGTATGTCATTGTAGGGTCAATCGTACATTTACATTATAACTTTAAATATACATATACAATATGAAATACAATTTTTTGTTACTCTATTTATTTATTTAAAAAGGAATAAATTATATGAATTTTCCACTGTGCTTTTTTTATTCTTAATTAATTTGAAATTATTTTGACTTGCTTTCTGTCAACTGCAGAAGAAGACTAGAACCTCTCTATGTGATAATGTATTAAATTAATTTTGTAGAGGATGCCTCCCATCTTTGCAGTGGCAAAGCTACGAACATTGGCCTAATAGGCATCAGCCTAGTTTGCCTTTATTGTCGTCCTTAATATCGGTCTTATAATAATCTTGTTTATAATTCACTTATATATACACTTAGCAAACGCTTAATTGTATCTAATGTGGTTTTTATGCGATCATATCCTGTGACAAAATTACTCTACTAATGGTGCGCGCCATTTTACCGATATTCAATTTTCGCGACTGTCGAAAGAACGAAATTTTCCATGTACAAAAAGTGCCTGCGATGTTAACGATTTGCTCGAATTAGCGCAAGTAGCTAAGTGCTAAATTGAGTCGACGAGAAGAGTCGGAGAAACAGGTGACGTTGTTATAGACGTTGTAACGACGTTTTCGAAGCCACGAATTTTATCGTTAAGCCAGAGAGCTGGAGAAGTTTAAGTAAGCAGCTTTGCCTTGCGATTCCTGTATACGGCAATATATATGGCAGTTGTTTTCCAATAAAAATTGTGTGCCATCGACTTCTTCGTATTTCCAATCCCGACATAAAATTTTTACCAAAGCGAGATCCGTTTAATATTAATTGTACACGAAAAAAATACTACGATTGCCACAACTGGAAGTAATGATAATTTTCGCTCATCAATACATTTAAATTGATTGTGATAACCGTAAAATGGACATATCTTAACAACCATAGCCTTAAGCTACAACCATAGCATTAAAATATGTCAATCTTATGGTTATCGAAATCATACTACAATTCTTATGACCAAAAAATGTATCGATGGGCGTCTTTTGATCGTGGCAACTGTAGCCTTTTTTCCATGCATATTAATTATATTTGTTTTTCTCACGTTTTTAATCTATATCGGATTCGAGAGGCAGCAACCGTCGTATATAAATAATCCCTATGCCACTTTCCGTATATTGTGCTCCGCGAGGCGGAACGTTTTAAATGAATCACCCTATATATATTAACGTATGTACGTAGGTGACGAGAGGCTCGTCAGTGACCTAACCGGTCGACGGTGCCTAGCTTGGTAAATCTTGCGGCGAGCCATGGCCGGTGCATCTCGCAACGGAAATCTCAAAAGGCCACAAATCGAGCCGAGCACAACCGCGTCTGCGGTCGATACTCCTGAAGCACTTTCGGAAGGTGATACTCGAAATTTGCCGTGACTACCGCTCGGCGGCAACCCGGAAACCGATATTCACGTAGATCTCTCGAACTTGCGCCTCGCAACTGATTTCGTCGATGTATATATGTTTTCTATTCGAATCCTCGATTTTACAATTTGAAAATGGAGCGAACGATGAGGTGGGAATGGACTAAACAAAGATTTATAAAATTAAATACAGTCTTACACAATTGGAAAAAAATTTGTGATAAATCACATTTCACGAATCCAAAACAATCAAATTTTTATTAATTTATATTAATTTAACAAGATGAGTATATATTAGGAAGTAACATGAATATTATGCAAAAACACAAAAAATGTAACACTATATCACAATTGGAAAATAAATCGTGGAAGCATATTTCTTTAGTAATATATCAGCATGATATATCTCAAAAGTATGAGTTAACCTTCTTACTGCATCAAGTGTTTTTTTTTAACGTGTTTGAAGACTTCGTGAAGTTTTTACTTAATATATTAGCACCCAGAAAAATATAATTTAATAATAGACCAAAACCTGATGTATATGAGGTGTTATAATACAGTAAAAAATTATAACAATTACATTGTAAGTTCTTACGTAATTATTATAATTTTTTAATGTATTATAACTATATTTTTCTGGATATTAACATAACGAGCTGGTTTTTTTTTATTTTATAATATATTATTTTATAATATAACACATTATCGCTCCGAGTGCACTTGCACATGATTCTTATTTGCTCTTATTCTCTTTTGATAAATTTGAAAATTTAAGAGTCCTTATTATTTGGTATTTTAACTTCATATTTTTTTCAGTAAAAAACATTTATAATAAACTGTAAAATAAACATGTACATTCGTCTTTTATTCATTTATTTTACAATTAGAATTTGTGTTTTAAAACTACATTATTTTTGTATTATTTAATTACTTACTCATAAATTGAGTTATTTTAAACTAAAAAAATTTAACATAAAATATTAAAATAACACAATAACAATATATGAAATTAACATTTGGATATGTTAAAAATTCAACAAAAAATTTTAACAATGTTTGATTTAACAAATACAAATATTTACTGTCTGTAAAGTTTAATAAATTAAATTTCTTTTTCTCTCCTTTTCCTTTCTTTATATTTGAACTAAATTAGATCAAATAAAAAATTTAAATATCAATCATGGCTGCTTGTAGATTGGATCTCATCTTTGGGGATATACGGGAAATCCTCTAGTCATATGCGTAACACATTACAACCTAGATTTACGGATCTACCGAGGATCTTATTGGTAAATGGTTTCACGATTTTCGTTTCAGGGGATGACAACGTAACGTAGCAACGGACTACTAGCCGGCACGAGATGAATACGAACGGTAACGCGGTCGGGCAGGAAGGTGGTGCCGGTACCGATTATGGAAGTAACGAGGAGACGGCGGCTCTGTTGGGCAGGCCACC